AAAAAAAAAAAAGGAAGGAAGGAAAGGAAAGGATGAAAGGAAGAAGCCACACACAGTGAGGGGCTATGAGGGCAGATTGGTGAAGATGGCAGGACACCCTGCAAAATCTCATAGGGAGGGACATGGTTAAGATTTTCCACTAAATAAGATAGTTGCCATGGAAATGTCTCAGCAGAGAGGGATTTAGTTTCATGTATATCTTGAAAATCTCTCTACTAAATAAGATAGTTATGTGGAAATGTTTCAGCAGAGAGGGACTTGGTCTCATGTATATCTTGAAAATCTCTCTGCTGGTGGCACCTGTGGCTCAAAAGGGTAGGGCGCTGGTCCCATATGCTGGAAGTGGTGGGTTCAAACTTAGCCATAGTAAAAAAAAAAAAAAAAGAAAGAAAGAAAATCTCTCTGCTGATGTGTAGAGGACACTACGCAGGCAGCTGGTCTGACTGCTGGGATGACTCCTGGGTCTCTGCTGTTGTGCAGATGAGAGAGGTCATCAGGGTGAGCCCTAATCCAACGTGACTGGTGTTCTCACGAGGAAAGATCCAAACACAGACTTGGATCTTCCTCTCACAGAGGAAGACCTTGTGAAGACCCAGGTAGCAGATGCCACCTACCAGCCAAGGAGAGGGGCCTCAGAAGGAGCCAGCCTTGCCAACCAGCCCCAGAACTTCGAGGACACCAATGTCGTTTCAGCCACTCCGGATCTGGCATGTTGTTATACCAGTTGGAACAGTTAGTACAGTGGATGAAAGGAAAAGGGCTGGTCAGAGACCAGGAAAACTAAATGTCACCTCCTTTGGGAAGCCCCTCTGGATTTCCTCCACCAGGAGGAAGTGACCACTCCCTCACCTCAGAGTCCTGTCATGAATGTCTGTCCAATAGCCAGGGAATTTATAAGCCTCTCAATGCTACTCTGTCTTTAAGAATCTGCACTCACCAACCTGCATGCACTAGAGGTCAGGTGGCTCTGTGCAGCTGTGGCCTCTGTGTCCTTTGCCCCCAGCTCAGCCCAAGTACATGGACACTGAGTGATGAGCACTCTCTTTCTATGTGACCAAAGCAGGGAGCCATTCACAGAAAGATTGGGAGAGAGGACAGCACCTTAGAGAGTTTATTCCACTTAACCCAAAGCCCCCTTTCATTTATGTTTCCTAAGACTCCCACCATCAGTGTCACCTTTGGGCACAGCCATTCAAATCACAACAGGTGTTACAGGTACACGGCCCAGGCTGAAGAGCAGTGGCCCAATTGTAGCTCATAGTGACCTCACACTCCAGGCTCAAAGGATCCTTCTACCTTAGCTTCTTGAGTAGCTGGTACCACAGGTGTGTGCCTCCATGCCCAGCTAAGATTTTTACTTTTCACAGAGGCAGTGTTTTGCTATATTGCCCAGGCTAAAAAAAAAAAAATTGTTTTTAGTACAAGTATCTCCCATGTAACATTTGGGACATACTTAGACTGAAAAAAATATATATTAGTTTATCTGAAAGTCAAATTTAACTGGCATTCTGTATTAGCCCTGGCAAGACCAGCCGCCCCCTTCCAAAAGCCCCCCGTCCCCCGTCCCCACTACCACCACCATCCATGGCCACAGAAGAACTCACTGTGAACTTTCACTTCTGCTTCCTCGGTGACCCAGGGCCCAGCGGGAGAGTCCCCACTCCCCTCACCCCTCCACAGCTGGCCCAGGGCTCAACACCTGTCCCCTTCCCTCCTCAAAGATAGCTTGTATAGGACCAGTTCAGCAAGATCAAGGGCCAGGCAGCCCCCAGGGAGGACAGCAGGTTGGGGGTGCTGGGAGTGAGGAGGGAGGACAGCCAATGGTCTCAGAGTCAGAAGCTCATTTCATGCATCAGTTCCTAGAACTCAGCTTCCTCTCTCAGCTTCCCCTTCTGCCAGGAGCTGTCACAACAGGACAGGGAAATCAGCCCTTCTCAGGGCAGGCCATGTTCCTCTGGGTGCCAAGATGCTGCTGCTACTGCTGTCCTTGCTGCTGGGCGGTGAGTGGGCTGAGGGCCAGAGGGACCCGGGTCAGAGGTAGGACTGGGGTTACAGGTTGAGCCTCTGTGTCTCCACAGGGTCCCAGACTCAGGATACAAGATTTAAGCTGGAGGTGCAGAAGTTGGTGAGGGTGCAGGAGGGCCTGTGTGTCTTTGTGCCCTGCACCGTTTTCTACCCTCCGAAGGACTGGATAGAGTCTACCCCAGCTTATGGCTACTGGTTCAAAGAATGGACTGCATCAAGCACTGGTGTTCCAGTGGCCACAAATCATCCAGATCGAGAAGTGCAAATGAGGGCGCGTGGCCGATTCGAGCTCCTTGGAAGGCCCCAGAACAAGGACTGCTCCCTGGTGATCAGAGATGCCAGGAGGGAGGACGAGGGACAATACTTCTTTCGGGTGGAGAGAGGGACATACGTAAATTATAATTTCAGGCAAGCATTCTTTCTAGAAGTGACAGGTATGAGGGACCCTGGGGGACAGGGGCGGGGCTGAACAGGGAGGGCTCTCAGGATCCCCCCAGGAACACTGAGAATCCCCTCTCTGCCCAGCCCTTACTCAGGAGCCAGATGTCTACATCCCGGAGACCCTAGAGCCTGGGCAGCTGGTCACAGTCATCTGTGTGTTTAACTGGACCTTCGAGGAATGTCCAGCCCCTTCTTTCTCCTGGACGGGGGCTGCCGTCTCCTCCCAAGGAACCAGAGCCCCCACCTCCCGCTTCTCTGTGCTCAGCCTCACACCGAGACCCCAGGACCATGACACTGACCTCACCTGCCGAGTGTCCTTCTCCACAGGGGGTGTGAGCACACAGAGGACCGTCCGACTCAGCGTGGCCTGTGAGTGGGACATGGGACCACAGTGGGTGGGAACAGACATGGTGGCCAGGGAGGTGCAGAACCCCCAAGAGACAGCCAGTGGTTCCAAGCTCAGGAAGGTCCACAGAGAGGAAGCTGTGGGGTCCCTGGGAGGGAAATGGGCATGGCATCAGCTCTCTCTGTCCACATACGTGTGTTCTGGCATTGACCTGTCACTTGTCTCCCTGGGTGGTCACACTTACTTTGCCCTAAGGAAGTTATTAGCACTTTGGGGGGCAAGAAAAAATCCTTCCTTAAAACTCACTCACAGTCTCACTACAGATGCCCCCAAAGACCTGGCTGTCAGCATTTCCTGGGACAATGGGACAGGTACTGAGGGCCCTTTGGACTGGGCTGGGGCCAGTTCTCTCTGGGGTTGAAAAGGCTTCGGGAGTGAGGGTGAGGGGATCTGCTGTTCCCTGCAGCCCTTGGGTCTCTTTCTGTGTCTCTGTCTCTTTCTGTGTCTCTGTCTCTCTTTCTGTGTTTCTAGCCTGGAATCCCCAGGACACCCTCCCACATCTGCAAGCCCAGAAAGGCCAGTTCCTACAGCTCCTCTGTGCTGCTGACAGCCAGCCTCCTGCCACACTGCGTTGGGTCCTGGGGGACAGAGTCCTGTCTTTGTCTCACCCCTGGGGCCCTAGAACCCTGAGGCTGGAGCTGCCCAGGGTGAGGTCTGGGGATTCTGGACGATACACCTGCCTGGCAGAGAACAGGCTGGGCTCCCAGCACCGCAGCCTGGAGCTCTCTGTGCAGTGTGAGTGGGACCCGCAGGGCCTGG